TACAGGCACCCGGAAACCCCCCAAGATGCATTTCTCATGGTTCGTGTCCTGGACTTTGCTCTCCCTTGGTGCTCTCCCTCCGAGTGGGTGCAGTAGCAGGAAGGGAGACACAGGGGACAGGCCTTTGGTCACTCATGAACATCTACGTGCTCCAGTGACCACCATCACCATGGGCTCCTCAGCTGCATAACCCAGGCCATGTACCACCACACGGCACCTCACTGTCCCCAGCCACGCAGCTGGGACGTGGCTAGACACAAGCCAGCTCTGGGTGCTAAGGAGTCGACTGGTGTCGTGAGGGTTGTCATACTCCCCGTAGTCTGCAGGGCCGGAGAGGCTGTATTTTTGGACCTTAGTCCCTAATTAAAAAAAAAAAAAAATCTCTGCTCTTCTGGACCAACACGGGCACTTGCTTGTAAGATTTGTGACACCGATGCTTTATGTATAACTTTATCTTACAAAGACCATAATAACAACCTGTGGGGGTGATGCTGCTGAGGCCACCTGATGTTGCGCTCCTGACACCGTCCTCTGGCACACAGCTTGGTGCCAGCCTCCCCACAGAACTCCCCAGCAAGTGGTGGCACCTTCCTGTCATGAACCAGGTCCACACGGAAGAGGATGGGCACGAGACATGAGAAACCCCACAGCAGCCTTTGATGCCAGCCGGATCTAGGAATGAAACACTTGTTTTAACTTCCAAACGTGCAACATCCACCCCAAGATGTCCTACCCCACCACAGAAACGAGGGATGGGAAGGAGCTCCCAGAGCACACGCAGGCAGGTCCTGACTGCTTTGTGAATGACTCATAAGGAACACTCTAAACTCAAAGTAAATGCAACATGTTTTATTTGAGGTTGGAATAAATTACAACTGTAAAGCATAATTTATTGCTTTATAAATCGTCTGCTCTTAAAAGGCATTAATAGCAAACATAAACAAAACAAAGACACATTCGATTAGCAGTTCAGTTCTTTTAAGCTTCATGAACAGCTCAGTAGAGGGATTTCATTCCATATACGATTGAAATCTCTGATCACAGGCTCGTAAACTTGACTTTGACATGGATTATCATCATTCAGACATATTGAGGGGACTGTAGATGTGTTCATTTGCTTTAGGATATATTTTTTATTGCAGTTTCCCTAAAATACCCCATTGAATACCCAGTCCTTCATTCCTCACTCAAATACAAATCCCAATAGTTTCAAAAAAATCCTTTAAGAGATACGTGGGGTTTTCTACCACTGCAGAAGGAAGTCTTCCAAGTCTAAAAGAGGAATGAGTCTGGTCCCAAAACTAAGTGAAAAACAAAGTCCTCCTAGGTTAAAATACTGAAATTCCATGCACAAAAAATGCTTCCTCCCATTCTGAAGATTCTTGCAAAAAATCCCAACGTTATCTGAATGAACTGACGCGGATACTTCGTATTTTTATTGTACAGTTACTCCATGCCCGAGACTGGTATGAATTTTGCTCAGCACCTGTACTCCTCTAGGACGCAGACTCAGGCAAGTCCAGTCTGCCCTGAGCCCTGGGGATGAGAGGGTGCTCACAGGAGGCTTTGCAGTATCCAGCCCCGATGCACAGATGCTGTGACACAACGTGCTGGATCTGGCTAGCTCCAGCTAGGTATGGCAGGCAGAAGAAAGGCCAAAAAGTCACTTCCTCAGCATCCCAGGGAGCCACAGCTCCTGAATGCCAGAAAGCGAACGAACATTGATGAGCAGCTCTCACTGCACCACGAAAAATGATTCCACCAAGGCATCCCGCTCTGCTCTGACCCCCTCGCACTGCAAGGGCCAAGTGCTCCCCGTGCCGTGGCTCCAGAACAGCGTCTCCCTGAGCTGGGTCTGAAGCAGCCCAAAGTGAGCTGGCTTATGCCCTGTATTACAACCAGAGGTAAAAGTCTCCAGAACCAGAACCATTGACTCCCGACTCAGTTAGCCCTTGGAACAACTGAGGAAGTTTGCAGAGAAAATCTCCAGGGCAGCTTCTCTTCTAACCACAAAAATAATTTTAAAAAGAATGAGCCACTGGTACAGAAAATTCTTCTAAAACTGTCTCACTATTACCCCAAAAGTTCCTATTTAGAGAAGGGCTTCTTCTCATATCAGCTCTAACGGACCTGTCATGCCTACAAGAATGTAAATAGCAGAGTGAGATGTTAGCATATTTTATACTGTATTACTGAATGGGAACGGTTAAGTCTATTACTGGATCCAAGAACTATATATTCTTCAAGGAAAATACTATTACATTGATTCCGATGTGATTTTTCACTAAAATTTCATCAGTAACTTACTATCTTTTGTACGACTTATACAGAATCTCATTAAAAAAAAAAAAGCAAACAAAATTTCTTCTTCTAAACATGGTTTCCTCAGCAGATGTGTTTCTGTTGTGCCGTGAGGGATGGCCAGCTGCGATCCCTGCGAGGCGGTACAAGCAGATTTTGGGTGCTGCACCTGCCCGTAACAGCTCCCAGCAAGCCAAGTGCCATGGCAGCGCGTTGGTGGGAGGCTGGGAGTGTGCAGGGCCACACCTGGAGCTGTGCTGAATCGGGCCAATTGTTCAGCACTTTTCAGTGTCCTTCTCATTCAAGGACTGGACAACCCTGGTTTAGCTCCCAGCCACATGGTAAAGTGCTTAAAACGGAGGGGCACAGAACACTAATGCCCCTTCCTCACCTCAGCTCCTGCCTGGGGAGAGGCTTGTGGAAAGGTGGCTTTGTGGCTGCTTCGTGCTGCAGCTGGGACGAGGGAATGCATCTGGTGTGTGCCTGATTCATCACCATCGTAGAGAAACATAACTCAGAAATGCACAAGCCTTTAAAATCATCAGTCATTTCATTTACGCTCATGGAGAACAGATTCTTGGCTGACTTCTTTTTTTCCTTAGCAGCTCTGAATTTTTCTTTGAAGATGAGAAGGAGGGAAGTTAGCCTTCAGGGAGAGGGACAAGCAGAGACACTTGCAAATTAAAATGCATGCACATGTCATCCACCACAGTAGTGACCTCCAGTCTGCACTTTACAACACAACATCTTATTATCTTGAACCTTAATTTTTCATTCCTTTCAAAAGTTCCCAAGAGCATTCCTTTCTGTGTCAGTGAGATGTCCCAGGGGACTCTACAGAGAAAACTAATGAGAGGAACAAACTGTTGTCACCAGGACAAGTGACAGGATTACATTCAAGCCACAGACTCTGGAGGAGCAGGACAGGGAGCAGATTTATTCCATTTTCTGCTGCCAGTGCCATACCAAGCAGCAAGACGAGCACACAGTGAGAAGGAAGATGGGCTAATGGTTAGTGGACTGAACTGGGATTTGGCAGATGGAGTTAATTCACCTTCCCCTTGTTCTTGAAGCGATCAGAAAAAGGAAACAGTTTATATTAACTTCAGGGTGCTCAAACATTCCCAGCTCAGCAAATACCCCCAAAATATTTCTCCTCTCTTAACAGTTCTTAACAGTTTATGCATTGTCCCTCTGACTAAGCACACCAGACAGAAATCTTCTAAGGAATCACACTTCTTCTAGGAAAAAAAAAAATGGACAAACTTCAGGATTGCTACATCTTGGCTAAGGCTCACTTACCCATCTGCAAAGCCTCCTACCCCTCATCTTCACTCCCGAGCTGCTCATTTGCCATGCACTTGCAGTCAGACAGAGCAGATCAGGAGCTCTTAAATCCATTCACACCTTTATTTCTAATTCACCAGGTATTGCCTCTGGCAAGGCACTCAGGCCACCACGGTCTTAGGGATTTCCGTTTAAAGCACCTTCTGACTGACTGGGGACCAGGTTCTGAACTGAACTGAAAAGCAGATGGGACAATCAGTGAGTGCATCTGAAAGCAAAGCTGTGAACTGGTGCATTGGCTCACGGGGAGGGCAGTGTTCAGCCACTCTACCAAAATATGGCAGGCATATTAATTAGTGGTTACAAAATTCTCTAACGTTTCACAGACATTTATAAGTGCTGAGCTTTTAAATTGGCAGAAGAGCCATGCCTGAGAATTCAGTGTATTGTTAGAAATGGACATTTTCTTCTCCTGTGGTCCTTCCTGTCACAGAGTGTCTCATGAACGAGCAAGTATCTATGCTGTGATTTCACCAACGGGGTAACTGGGTCAGAGATGGGCACCGGCTGGATCAGACCCGTGGAGCAGATGAATGACTTAGTCAAGTGAAAACTAAGTCACTTGATGCCAGGCTTAGCACTCCACCCGCGCCCCCCCAGAGGGTTACTAAATAGGGGACATAAATAATCCCCTGAAGGAACTTATGTATCATGAAGGGCAAAGAGCCTCTGAAGCTATATGCATAATGGCATAAAGTACAGCACAAGTATATTACATATTTAGCTCTACGCCCTGCTTCTCTGTCACGAGGGCAGTGGGTTGCTCAGACAGTTGTCTTCTGGTCAGCCTATTACGCTATTTCCTACGGAAACACGGGTAAAGGCATGTATGCGATTCAGTAGTAGAACAGGAGCTTGGTTTTACATGGGCTGAAAGAATGTTTCTTGTACCCAAATGAGATTTTTGCATGCATCCGCATACTCACCCAGACGCTGCCTCTGCCGTGCTCCATGCCTGAGTTTCATGCCAGGTGCGCTCTGCGTAGCAGGCATTTCATACGCACACAGTGACCCGGTACAAGAGCACATTCTGCAGGCCAAGTCTCAGGCAAAAATTCACCTACAAAACCTAAGTGTGTTGGTAGTTTTTTGCAGTGAATCGGGCTTTCACTAGGAATTAACATAAGCTGCAGTGACTAATCTTACACTCTGTGCACTTCCTTATTTTCTTTTCACAGATCAACCACTTTCTTCCTTAATACTAAAACGCTGAAGTCTTACATAGCATTGAGAGCATTATTTTCTGCTGGCTGTGTTTCTCTATGCTCTAAGCCTCTATCACAATGCATGCAAAGGATAATGGCTGAACTTGTAATGCTTTTAACTAAAAAAATACTTTTAAAAACATAAACCATAAATTATTTATTCCTCTTTGTCCATTGTTTTAAGCACTGAGTCTTCTCCCAAGATTTTACACAGTTCGTTCAGTCTCTGCTGCATTTTAGGAATTCCTGCAAGTTGGGATTCCAGTCTCTGTTTTTCCTCACTCAGTGATAAACGGATAGCCGTGTCCAGCTGCTCGAAACGCCAGCCGCCTTGTCCGTCAAACTGCAGCAGGTGAGTGTGGTACTTCCTGCAGTAGAAATCAAGACATCAGTAACGGCTCAGGGAACAGATGGTTCACTTCTGCACGCAGAGTTGGACGTCTGTGTCTCTTTTCAACGGTGCCTCTCAGGAAGTTGAGAGTTCTGGATCACTGGGTAAGACTGTTTTTTTTCAGTGACTCAATCCCAGGACGCTCTTTCATACGGGGTTTGGGCATTTCAAAGCCTGTCACCAGGACCTCCCTCGGCCATCTAGTGAAATCCAGCAGCGAGGTGCCAGCCGTAAGCTACCAGCACCGGCGTGGGCTCCCCAGCTGGGGCGGTCATCGCCTCCAGCAGCCCGCACCTGCGGTGATGCTGGCAGGAGCGGGCAGCAGGCCTGCGGAGGGTCCCTCACCGTCTGCTGTTCCTGGCCAAGGTGGTGGCCTCCCTCCTCCTGCCTCCCTCCCAGAAACATTGTCTGTGGCTACAGTTGCCTTCACTGCAATTCCAACAGACTCCTTTTGCTCCAGGAGCGTGAACAGCAGCAGCAGTCAAGGCTCCCTCTGCTCCAGGAATGCTAGTCCCAGTTTATTTTATTTACCTCGCTTTCTGGGAGACATTTTACCTCTTAGCAGAAAATACATTCAGGCAGGCACGGTGCACCTGATGCTACTGATAAAACTCTAGCTTGTTCAAATTACACCTCAGTTTGTTCCCCTGCATCTTATAAGGTTGGCTAAAGAAACCTCCAGTCCTAAAACACGGTTCAGTTTGCAAGGGGCCAAAATAAAAAAGTCTGTGTGGGAGTCACAGATCTTTCCATGAGTATCAGGGTGTGTGCACCGAAAATATTCAAAGGTGTACATGTGGAGTTTGTCAAGACCTGACAAGACATTTATCAAGAGGTGCAAGAGGAAGAGCAGAGAGTTCCCTCAAGAGCTGCTGCTATGACTGTGTAATTTATCACTATAAATTACAGAAGATGAGACACATCATAAAACAGTGATTATAAATCCCATCCAGGGAATGTGACAGTTTAATAAACTCAATAGCTTATGACATGGGACTCAAAAGAGATTCATCTCCAGGTTTATATTCACCACTTCTTGCATATTATTCTTTGTGACACCGAATGCTTAACCTATCCCTCTCTTTCCCCCCCACACCAAAAACCCCCCAAAATCAGGAAGCTAAGATAGCTGATTGAGATGTCCAATGTTTGTAGTCTAGGAAAGTAGCCAATATTTGGATTAAAAGAGCAAGTATTTCCTGGTATAATCTTGAGGAGGAGAAAACAGCATGTGAACCTGTTTTTTCTCTATGCAGTGCAGTCCCTGTGGAAACATACCTCAGCTGAAGGCATCTGATGCTTATTTCTAAATACTCAGCACTTCTGTTTACTTCTCCAGAACCCCACAAATCACCAGATTTCTGAAAATTTCAGTAATACTGTGGAGGTTACAAGAACAATCCCAAACCTTCCTGAATAGCACCAGTACTAGGAAACTGAACTTAAAAGATCTTTCTCACAAGTTCTTTTGCATAACTCTCCCTCTGCATCATCATTATTTATAGGTGAGAGGCTCTGAAATACCTGTTTTCTTGAGCAGTGGTTTTAAAATAATGTCAAACTTTAAAAAATGTAAATACTACTTTTTTTTTAAGTGTAATTTAAATTATTTTAAAAACAAATGTCTATGTGACTTTTTTTTTCCTGTCAGAATACCCATTTTTTCTTAACATTTTGGGTCCTGATCCAACAAAAGCCATTTCCACTGTCACTGTCTACACAGAGGAAGGAGGAATGCTGGGGAAACTGTTCTTTTTCAGAGAAGCAGACACTGATACAATTTCTTTCCTTTAAGGCAACAGACTAGTAATGGATTTTTTTGTCATCAGTTTAAAAAAAGCAAACAATCTGACAGTAGAGACCAAGGACTTCAGAACAAATAGCCTCTGCTAATGTTAGCTTACACCTTCTTGATCTCCTCTTGCCCTGTAAAGTATTTGGTTGTTTTATGTATTCAGTAACTACATTTATTTCCTTTAAGGGACTCTTCCATACTTAGTACTCCCTCACTAGAATAGTATTTCTCAGAATTTCAGTATTTCTTTTTTTAATAGACAACCAAATTTTGAAAGCTCACAACGCCTGCAGATAGAGGACACAACTGAAGTTAAAACACCAGATGTATTATTCCTATGGAAAAACAAAGAACAGTTTAACCACGTGCCGTGTTTCCCATCTTCTCCCTGCACTGGTAAACTTCCCCAGGACAGCTCATGTATGTTGCCACCTTTACAGAATAATCTGGTGGTATCTGTTGTGGCTCTGGTGTGTGGACTAATTAATTGCCTCTTAGATAGCTGCATGTTGCTATTAATAACTGAAACACATCTAAAAATAAGAGGGAAGAATACATACATGTCAAAGAGTGAAAAAAATCAATGCTAAATGCATTTACATCACTATTATTGTAGAAAAGTTATCTTAGAAAGTGCAGTAGATATTGATTAAACAACTGCCCTAGTACGAAGAATAAAGGCCAATCCACTGCCTGTCAGAAAGCTAAAAGCAAGGGTCATGATAAATCCCTGAACATACTTACCAAAGAGAAGGTCTGTGTGTTATGGAAAGCAGGGATATCCCAGCAGCTTTTGCAGCTTGGAATATCGTTCCTTCAACATCAATGCTTACAGCACTTGTGCATTCGTCCAGCAATGCATATTTCGGCCTTTCAAAAACAGATAAAGATTACTCTTCTATGTTTTAGACAGTACTCCCATGTATGATGTTTAATTGAAAGAACAACAGAAAGGAGAGAGCTACTTTTGCCAGACAGCTGTTTTTCATCTACAGTTGGAAGCTAGCTAGCAACAACATAAAGTTTCCATGCATTATTCAGGTGCAGAGGAAAAATGGGGTTTATTTCCTGGTCCATCTGAGTACACAGCAATCAAACTTCTGCATTCTAGTTTGACCTATTCTGTCATCAAGTCATGCAGTAGCTACAGCCAACTCAGGAACTTTCTAACCACTGCTATGTATGGACTGGGCTGCCTTTGCATGCTTGCAGTCTTCAAAACTGAAGTTTTAGAGCTTGGCTTTCAAATTCCCACAGCCTCTGGAACAGTCCCTCAGACTTCTGCAATATTTGTAAGACAGATGCAGGGAAGATGTTTGTGCCTGAGATGTTAAAGAAAAGAACAACTGGAAAAGATGGGAAAAAGATGGAAAAAGAAAACATAGGGAAGTGATTGTGCCCCTGTACTTGGCACTGGTGAGGCCGCACCTCGAATACTGTGTTCGGTTTTGGGCTCCTCACTACAAGAAGGACATTGAGGTGCTGGAGTGTGTCCAGAGAAGGGCAACGAAGCTGGTGAGGGGTCTGGAGCACAATTCTTACGAGAAGCGGCTGAGGGAACTGGGGTTGTTTATTCTGGAGAAGAGGAGGCTGAGGGGAGACCTTGTCGCTCACTATAACTACCTGAAAGGGGGTTGTGGTGAGGTGGGTGTTGTTCTCTTCTCCCAAGTAACTAGTGATAGGACAAGAGGAAATGGCCTCAAGTTGCGCCAGGGGAGGTTTAGATTGGATATTAGGAAAAATTTCTTTACAGAGAGAGTGGTAAAACATTGGCACAGGCTGCCCAGGGAGGTGATGGAGTCACCATCACTGAAAGTGTTCAAAAAACATGTAGACGTGGCATTTCGAGACATGGTTTAGTGGGCATGGTGGTGTTGGGTTGATGGTTGGACTTGATGATCTTAAAGGTCTTTTCCAACCTTAATGATTCTGTGATTCTGTGAAACATAATGAGTGTTGCCAAAAGCAAAGCTGAAGAAGCATTGCCCAAACTAAAAGCAGAGCTTGTACGAATAAATGACAAGGTCTGTGGTCCTATGCAACCATGTAGCAGTACTGCATATTGCATGGACATTATAGTCTACTACTGCTCAATCTATTACAGCAAATCTGCAAAACTCTTCCTCATTTTCAGACGCTACTTAAAGAACAAATCAAAATGCTTACTTGTGGTAAAACATCCGAGCCATGCCCATCCTTTGTTTTTCTCCTCCTGATAAGACATCTTTCCAATCCATGATGGCATCCCAGCCTTTTAAAAAAATGCAAACAAAATGTGTCAGGACAATGTTGGTTTATGAAGGAAATGCAGCTGCACTTGCAACATCTCTTCAATCTGCAACCAAAATCATAAAGAGCACTTCCATTGCAGAAGAGACAGCTCAGGGTTCTGGATCACATCATCTGAGATACCTCAATGCCTTTCCACTGGCACCTAACTGGAAAAATGTGTCAAATATCATGTCAATTTTGAAAGTGGTATTTAACTTTCTTGGTCATGTAGGTTTTGTCAAAAAACTTCACTTACTATCCCTTTGAAAAAACATCTTTTACCTGCGTATAACTAATTATTTTATTCTCTCATGTTTGTTTTATAAAACAATTTGCTATTTCTTCTTGAAAGCCATGAGAGGAAATTTAAAAACAAATACAAAGAAATAAAGTGTAAAAAACATGAAGAGCAATGCTGGACTCCACTCACTATTGTAGACAAAGAATAACTGTCAGCAAACTCAACAGAACCACAGATGCAGACACAGGGATGCATTCTGTGAGCACAGACAAGCAGCTAACAGAAAACTGCATACAGTCAGGAGGATTTTCTATACAAACTTCCCACTACCTTGTATTTAGAAATGACACACAACTGTTAGAACACTGGGTATCCTTATTTAATACTCTGCATGGCCTCTAACTGATTTTTTTCTTTATCACTTTCAGATACGTGCAATGGGAGCGTGGTGCATTTTATCTGTGATCTTACAGCGGAGTGGTGTTTCTGTGAGTACTCTCACATGATTCATTCCCACTAATGAAAAACTTCAAATACCAAATGATCCTACTGAAAATAAGTTTTCAATCAAACAATCCAGATGGATAGAGCAGCAAAATAGATGAGTTTTGAAAAGGAAGAGTGTGGATGAAGAGAAATCTGATAAGACATTTCTCTCAATAGATCATCTATTCATGTGACAGGCAGCTGGAGTGGGGCTGAGAGAGGAAGAGAACATTTTTCCAAATCAGCTCGAAAGCAGTGTAACTAAAAAATTAACAACACAACCAAAAACCCTTTTCTGCCACTGCCCAACTGAAAATAAACATTTGCCGGAAAAGACTATAAACAGGTCAAGCAAGGAGGGTGGGCTGTGTCATTTCTGATACCCGAACAAAGGTGAGACAAGTGGGGCTTGTGAAGGTGCAGGAGGGTAGGGAGTGCTCTGCCCATGCTTGGTGCTACACTGGGGCTTGGTAGGTCTGAACAAAACCTCAGTGACGCATCTGGTGAGAGGCTGTGTGGCTGAAAACAGGAACTGATAATGCTAGAGACTGAATTCCAAGAATTTTCTCTATGTAAATTGTAAAATATTCATGATTTTTTAATATATGTGTATATAATTAGATCTAGAAACCAGGCATGCACACACCAGAAATACATCACCTTTAGTGATCCTATTGTTCTTCCTGAGTTTCCTTCCATTCTTGTTTAAGGATCCCAGTGGGCACCCCCCCAGGGGCACATACAGTGCTTTCTACCAGTGGGCTCCTAGCAAAGACGGAGTTGTGTAATGATTAACTGAATCACCATTTGGGTGAACTCTGGCAAAGGGAACAGATACACAGAGGCTGCTGGTGCTGAGCAGTCCCCGTGCTGGGACCACACAGAGAGCTGGAATGCTGTTCACCTTCAGCTTCCAAAAAAGGCTGTAGAACACCTGGAGCGCTCCTTTTTGGCAAAGGGCTCTAGAGGCAAGGGATGGCAATGGTTCTTTATGAAAGCCGTAGAAACAACTGTGCTTCTGAAGACAATGTTCGGGCTGCTGCTTATATTCTGCTATTTTTAAGCTGAGAATATAGACAAGATCCAGGGATCTGGATCTGAGCTAGGGTGTGGATGGGTGTGCGCGCGTGCACATGTGCCTGGGGAAGCAGTGCCTGGCGTTCGTACAGTTTCTTCCAGATCAGCTGGTTTATAAAGACTTAACTAAAAGACAAAAAGGAAATGAAGTTCAAGAAGAAGCATCATCTTGTCAGCAAAATCATTCTACTATTAAAGGTGTAAGATTTAGCCTCTGTTTACCAGGATATGATGGTCATCTTCGTGGTCACTTCAACTTACATTCTAACTGAATATTAGAAGTGTGTCTTGTCCCTTCCTGCCTAGCTCCCTCCCTGAACTTTCCTATTTGCCACCTGGAATGCCTCAAACAACAGATAAGGAAGGATCCATTTTAATATCATCCCTTTTAAAAATTATTTTCTACTGTCTGAACAATTTCCTCTGAACACTTAGGCATTGTAACTCACAATAAACTGACTCCCTACTGTGCATTAACAATAATGCACCTACTTGTTTCTGTTTTCTTCGTGATTAGCATTCTGGAAATACCAGCCAAGTCAGTGGCTTACATCACCCATAGCTATATCCACTTTACAAATGAAGAAATTAAATGGCTTGTCCATGAATGCAGAAGAAATGAAACGGCTTGTTCATGAACACATGAACACAGCACAAAGCTCTCAGTAGGTACAAACATAATCCTGGCCTTCAGAGTCCAAATTCCTTGCCCAACTTCTTGTTAGACATAGCCTTTGATTGCACATGGTATGGTGTAGCTGTGAGGAACACTGGATGTCACAGAAATACCTTTTGCATGTAGTAAGACAAAGATCAAGCGTAATGTGCTGGGGCAGAGTAACAGCAGTGGAAGTACATACAGTAGAAGTACATACAGAGCAACAGCAGAAACGAGTGATAGCCTCATGACAGCAGCATTTAATTTTCTTGCATGGCTTCTTTTATAATTCCTTTTACCTCCATTTTCTGAAGGAAAAAGCAAGCTAAATTTGATAACAAAAAAACCTGTTATATCTGGGGTCTGTAGCGCTGTGTATCCTTCATCCTTGTGAATCCTTACACTTACATGCAAGACAGAGCATTCAGCTGCCATAAAAAGATACACTTAAAAGTTCCTTTTCCAGATCTATGTTCTGGTGCACTTCATCAGATGTGGACTGGAGTGTAACAGCTTCATGACAGAAGAAAGGCTACAGCAGCAAACTAGAGCCAGAGAGTCCACCCCTGGTGAGTTTTTGAACATGGAGGCCTCTTGCACAGCGTATGTCCCCAGGCAGTTGTCAAAATGGAAGAGAGCCCGGGTGCTGTGTAGGATGAATATGCAAGGGCAATCCTTAGCTGAGAAGGAACAAAGAGACCATCAATTGCCTGAGCCCCAGCTCAGCATGACACTGCAGGGATTTGTGTCTCTGGATTTCAGAGTCACTGGAAAAGCCGGCAGAACGCTCCAGAGCCCCTGCTGGTACCAGTAACAAAAGCAAATCCAGGGCTAAAATGTTCAGATGAAAAAACCTCGGAGACAGGAAATGTGCTTGTCTGTGTGTTTATATATGGCCTAGCACAAAGGTTCCCTGGACAAGAGCCAAAGATACGACAAATGTGCAAAATAATGAGGAATAATTATAATCTGGGGTGCTGAGAAACCATAAACAGGTTGAACTTGTTCAGTAGTGTCATCAGCCCCAACCTGACAGGCCCAGTCATGCGTTCAGCGTGCTGCTACACGTACTTACGTCTCCTCTCATGTGACAGTCTATCAGCAGCCTAAGGCTGCATCATGACTGACACCTGCTAAATATACACAGATTTTCAAAGCAAGTCAAAAAGGAACCACTTTATGTGTATCTACTGCACATCTCCATGCTATCACCCACGATTTGTGGACATGCCTTTTCACCATCCACGCTGGATACAACCTTCTTTGCTACCCTCATTTTGTATGAAATTATTGTTCTGGTAGAGCTAGCAACTTTGCAGGTGTTGATGGGGGCACCTTATTGATAATACAAAGGCAAATAACAAAATGGCATTCCTCTAATAGCCAGCAGGTGAGAAAAACATCGGTGTGGGAAGTGGGAAAGGAAAGTGGGAAGGAAATTCAGCCCCTGGCAGCAAGGGGGGCTACTGTCAACAGCAGCTGCACTGGATTCTTCTAGGGCGTGAGCTCAGGGACATCTGGAATGGTGGTGGTCGGGAGGGGGTTTGTTATTTTGGTGGTTTTGATGTATTCTGTTGACTCAAAAAAGTTTCAAGAGGGTAACACAGAAGCTACGTGCCAAACTGGGCTACTTATTCTTGTAACCATTTTATTTACTTCTAACTGGGTCAAACCGTATCACTAGAAAAAGAGAGGAGTTTCTGTCATTGGCAGCAACAAGAACATCAGGCTCTTGTTGGCACTTTACACTTGGAATCTGGTGACCCTTGTAAGGATGCAACGTGGAAGTAATTCAGCTAGAGACAATAACGTTACACCAGGACAAATGAATTGAGTCAGAGTTGCGCACTTCTGGCTCCATCTGGCTTTTTCATAACTGCCCACAGGGAGCAGAACACAAAACTGCAAAGCATCATATTATACACGCAAGACATTCGTGGTCAATTAAAGCACAACAGGGTCATGCCCTAAGGAGCCTGCTGGCTGGTAGAGGCTTAATACTCAGGGGATGGGTGAAAGGGGAAGAGGCAGAGGTAAGGCTCTGAAGGAGAGGAGGATCTACAGGAAAAAATATTGAAGAATGATATTAGATTTCTGTAACTTCATGACTGAAAGGTAATTAGCTCCATTCCTGGAACAGTTTATGGAAATGGTTCAAAGTAGCATGGACGTATCCCATATATCCACAAGAATGTGAATAACTAAAAATGGCTTCATTGATTTTTTTTTCAGATGTAATACCTTTTCAAAAACTGTATATAATATATAAATAGAAACTTGCTGGGAATTTTTCAGCAAAACTATTTTCTATTGGAAAACACCAGTGTTTTTCAACCACCAAAGCAGTTTGCAAACAGAAAAAAGACAGTTTGGAGCAAATCCCTTGTTCTACAAGCTTTATATGGGATTTTTCATTATTTCACAAAGAAAAAAGTTCAATTTTTAATAGTAATAATTTTATGTTAAAAAACTGATTTTAAGTAAAAGAATAAAATAAAAATCAGAATTAAAAAAAACAGCTATGGATAAACAAAAATTTCAATTGTTCATTTTCAACAAGTATTTCTCTGACTTGCTGGTTCAGAAAACCAGAATATTTAAAGAATAGGTAAGCATATGAAATCCATGTAACGTGTCAAATCATATGTCACAGATTTCCTCTCTGCTCCTACCTTGGCACTTGTCTCCTGCAAATGCCCAAGGAGAAAAGGGAACATGTAAGTGTATTATGGTCCTAAAATCTTCCTGGTATGTGGTAATCTCTCCCCCCATTTTCCGGCTTTGTCCACTTCTGTCATTTTAGATTGCCAAGTAGCTAATACACTTTTTTTTTAAACATTTGTTTGTGCAGACTTTTGCACAGTGTGCCCTGAGTGGAGTTTCAATAGAGCAGCAGTGAACATTAACAGTGTCCTCTAGGCTTTTTCATAGATTGTGTGTGTCTCGCATGTGCAGTCAGACAGGCAGAAGAGCAAGAATGGGGTCAGCAATGAACACTTTCTTTGGCATAGAAAGTAGAGTGAGACTGATCCAAACCTGGGTTTTCAGTTTGGCAATAGAGAACACTGACCCCAGCCAATGGCATCTCCTACGTGGAGCACAGTAACTGCCCCATCATCAGTTACATGCTCCAGCTGCAGGGTTATAAACCACAACGATGTGAATTCAGAGACTGCTGGGGATATGGTTTTGGCTGCTGAGGGTCATGTGTTGTTCAGTACATCTACAAGTACCGGCAGGCTATGAATGCACACTCCACAGTGGCTTCTTGCCACTGACAATTTAACTGCTCCTCCTTTTCCAGCTGCCCATTCCAACACATCTGCTTGTTCTTCAGCAATCTGGGCACTTCACTTAGTGAAGTGAGTGACTCAGGAATACTAACAGGAGTAGTTATAATGTCAGTGTAGGGAGTAGAGGCCTTCTCTGCAATTATTCTGGTCACTGAGTTTAGCTCTCTGCCCACTTTCTCAATCTTTGTGTCATGGTATCAGATCTGAATAACAATATGAATCAGAATGATGGCAGATTCTTATTTTCTATTCCAACTTGAGAGCCAACAGTCGTTATTACATTCTTAATGAAGAAACATTAACCCATGGAAAGATAAGGGTCTATCAACAGGACTGTGAGGTGGAGAAGTATCTGTAGGTATACAACTGCTACTGTAAATGATTACTACTCCCTACTCTAAAATGTGCAGAAAAGACACCAGGTGAGTGTCCATGCATACTTCAAAAATAAAATACACCTTCTGCCTTTTGAACAGAGCAACAGGCTGCCATCCAGGAATGGGAATTTAGATGTTGCCTTGGGATTCCCAGTGGCTGAAGCACTACTTTATATTGTCAGAATGAACCTGAGACACCAAGCACACACATTACAAGCCAGTGCACCCAAAGTACCCTCTCAAAAAGGAATACTGACAGCTGGCAGAGAGAGGCAGGGTACATCCAGCACTACTGACGTCAGCTCCTTAGAGGTATTTGAAAATCCTCCTTCTTCCCTCTACATGTTACCAATTTGGTCCTATGTCTGTTTTAAAAGCATAATGAGGGGGAGGAAATTCAAACTAGATATTAGTGGCTGCTGGGAACAAAAGGATGAAAATTATGGCTATTCTTGGGGAAAAAAAGAGCTATGAAATGCTCCAGTTCCTCAGACACAAGAGAAGCCTTTAGCAGCTTGACATTTACTGTTCCAGTGTATTTACACTGTCCCCTACTCTTAGGACAAACAACACTGTGAACCCATGGCAACTTAAACAGCAAGTGGTAGATGGCAACACTCCATTGCCAGCCAGTGTCGTTTGGTTATTCTTATCTTGTTCACCCTGGTGGTGTGGTATCAGACACTCCCTCTCATGGCAAGTAGTCCTGCTGATCCCACAAACCAGGGAGGTGAAAGCAGACCTGACTCTCTTTTCATTCACATACCTTCCAGTTGATGTAGTTGGTGACATTACAAGGTTTTAAGACAGGTTACATTTTCTAAGAAAATGAAGAAAGGTCAGTGATCTCACAATACCATGAAAAGACTGGTCATTACAAGAGAATGAGGATATTCAGCTTGGTCATGGATTTACTGGAGAGGAGAGGAGCTCTTAGCTCTTCTCCCTGTGTTAGTTTCAGGAGCAACAACCATGTGTCTGTGCAGCTCCCACAACCACAAAAGGTCTGGATCCAGTTTTGCCAGTTCAGTAAGTAAAGGTCAGTCACACTAAGACACACATGCAAGGAACAGATTTTGGAAAGCTTTTTACAAAAATGTGCAATTTACCTCCTTCTCTTTGAACTATGTGGTACAGATGAACCATATGCAGGATACACTCCAGATCTTGATCTTGGTAGCCTTTCTCGTGCATGTCATCCACTGAGTCTGGATAGATGACTTGATCACGTAGTGTTCCAATGGACATGTAGGGCCTGAGAGACAATACAGAGAAACCAGTAATCTGGAGTTGGCACATCTTGCTGATGCTCTACTGGCAGAGTAAAATGATTTAAACACCATGTTGGTAAAACTGGATTTATCTGTGGGTGCATTGTGGGTGAATGTTTTTCTAAACTTACCCTAGGGACAATGTATTGTTTCTGCAACAGCTGATTACCCCTGCGTAGCAACAGGGGTAGAATTAGCACAAAACCAAAATGACATATCAGTCAGAATAAACATCCATTTCATAGCCCATTCTGAATGCTTTCACCTGGAATCAGGGAAAGTCTGTGCTGTATTCAAGGTTTGGTACACTTAGAGATTTAGATATTGAATTAAACATTCACATGTTAAAAGCAAGTTGTAACAAAAACGTTGCAGCTTAAACTGGAAAAGAGCTCCATGGTGCAGCAGGAGACACCCAAGTCAGGCAGGAGAGCACTGAAAGCCGCTTTGCACACTACTATTCTGGACTGCAGAACTGCAACCAGGCATAACCTACCTGCCTCTAGAAGCCAGTATAGCACTTCTGAATTGCAAAAAAGCAGTTATCAGCTTAAACTTCCCAGCATCAGTCTCCCTTTGTCAAGCACAAGGCTGAACTGTATGTGAAGCAGCTTCTGAATCACCATGTTCCCAGACCAGGTAATACCATCCATCTTACTAAAACAAGCTGTCTCCACTTTGGAGCCAAAGTCCTCAATTGTAGTCATGTCCCTGGAATGGCTATGGACAGTCTCCACAATGTCATGAGCTGTGCCCTGCCTCTGGTACAGCTCAGGCCCCCTAAATCCTCCTAGTCTCTCAAAGGGAAAGTCAGCTCAAAGAACTGTTTTACAGTTCTCTAAAAGATACCAGGCCGTTCAGGCTAGGATAGCAAAGGCACATCTATTTGACCATCTCTTTTGCTGCTCTTGTTCTACGGAATTCTTGTGAAGGACAAATAACCATCCCGTCCCACAGACACTGCTGATAGCTCTTGGAAGCTGGAAACACCCTAGGAATGATCTGTGAGATTTTGGGTTTGGAAGGGAAGGCTAGAGCCAAGGAACAGTCAGGCTCCAGACTCTGTCCTGCTTTCTGTGCCAAGAGTTACACTAACTCTCTCTGGGTTCATCTGCCAAAACAATACTAGTCTTATTAAAGCTGTGGTGCCAGGGGATGATGACAGAGCGGAGCAGTTAAAATTGGGCCAGCAACAAGGAGACTTTCCAGGCAGCTTGCTCTTGCCACAAAGAACTGCTTCCAACAACTTCAGAGCATATTGGCGAGGGGTCAGTTTTCTTCTCTGAAGAGCTCTGGACCTGCGTGCTGGGAAGGTCTCAGCCATGCATTTGAGGCTTTCCCTGACAGAGATGTGTAATACCGTAGAAGCTTACTTCCCTTCCCTTGGATGTGTCTCTGCAGAAGGGGTGGATTTACCCATTGTTATTCTGAGAGTCTCTAAAATACACCACAGAGTAATTTGAAGGGATTCATGATGCAACAGGTGTAGAATTACAGAACTAAAGCTGCGACATGAACTAAAAATCACATTCAAGCTGGCATCAGTTGCATTGGTTTTAGTGCTGCAGACATCCATGGTGAACTGTCTGTACCCGTCCATAGTTAAACTACTTTCACCACCAGCTTGGGTGAGGGTGGGATGGGCAGGGGATCTGAACTGCTCACAAATATTTGGTCATCTCCCTGCTGTGGGCAGGCACCCAGATGAAGCAAAACCAGAACCACAAGTCACATACAAGCATTGCTGCTCCTCTTTGTTATTGTTCTGCTTTGTGCTTACTGTGGGAAGAGTGCTGCTCTGGGCTGCTGTACAAACACTCACATCAAGTGCAGTGAACCAATGGGGATATTGCAAAATCTCAACCCTAAAAATTATGTAAATTTATGAAGTAATGATATATTACATTTCCATAGTGCTCTCCATCTAAAATCCCAATGGGCTTCACTTCTTGCATATGTAGAAATCACTTCACTTGCTCCAGACTGCTGCCATCTCTGGGACAGAAGACAGCAACTCCACCAGGGCTCAGAAACGTTGAAATCAGGTTGTGCACAAGACTGTGTAATTTAGGTGAAGATGCAGGTAAGGGCAAGGAGGACAGAGTTACCTATCATATAATTTGGCTGGGGTTTAATACCTTACTCTTGTGAAGTATGATCCTGTAATGACTAGAAGCTCTGAGATTTAACCTACAGCACAACCAGGGAGACAATGCTCAGAAGCACCACGCCAGGACACTTCTTGCCACGCTGTTTATTGAGTCACCAGCACTGCTTCCTGGTACAACTGGATTTTCCTTGTGGCAACACACCAGTACTACCAAGCATGCCTCTCCTCACCTAGTTCGTAAAAAATAAAGAAAAGCCCAGCCTGCAGTGGAATAGCAAACCCCAACAATTACTGACTAACTAGCAGAGATGGCATAATGGCTTATGGTTACAGGTCTGTCCCGGGAGATGGGAGAGCACGTTGTGCTTCCTCCATCCTATAGGGAGCCATTCATGTCCCTGAGGGGACACTTCATCTTGTTTGGCATGAGATGTCTCATCTGGGGCTCCAACTCTTGACAACAGAGAGGCATGGGGGAGTGCATGGATTGCCTCCTGGGGATGTCTTCTCCCTCAGTCTGGGACAGAGCCCAGACAACTAACTTAGATAATTAACTTCTAAAGTGCTAAAGTTAGATGAGATCTCATCTAACTCATACTCTCATAATCTCATACTAAATGAGATTTCTCTGTTCATAACTTGAAGACAATAACCTCCTTACCTACCATGGGTGCCACAAAGTCAAAACAGACTAAAACCTGTTAAACATCAGATGTTATTGTAGTTGAGGTTACATGCATGTGGTAACTAGACATCAAGTAGTAAGAGGTATGGGTAACTGGATACAGCTACAGTGAAACTTTGTCTTTGCCGGTAAGCTCCTTGTTAGAATTCTGTTTTCATTAAATTTTTAGCAGTTCAAACAATAAAACCAGTCTTTTTGTCCTGAAGTAATACTCAAGTTTAACTGGACTTAATTGATCTCTGATAGATTTTTTCCTTTCAGCCAGAGTGTCTGGGTTACAGTCTCAAAGAAAGAACTCTTACAGACTCTGAAAGCAACTCCTCTGCTACGTGGACATCATGTATTTGACGGTAAGAGCTCTGCAATTGTTTTCTTTCCTTCTTTGCTCTCTGAAAAAAATCATAGAATCATAGAATAGTTTGGGTTGGAAGGGACTTTTTAAGGTCATCTAGTCCAACCCCCCTGCAGTGAACAGGATCAGGCTGCTCAGAGTCCCGTCCCTCAGAGTCTTGAATGTTGCCAGGGATGGGGCATCCACCACCTCTCTGGGCAACCTGTGCCAGGGTTTCACCACCCTCGTAAAAAATTTCTTCATTATCTCTAGTCTAAATCTACTCTCTTTTAGTTTAAAACCATTACCCGTTGTCTTATCACTACAAGCCCTGCTAAAAAGTCTGTCCCCATCTTTCTTATAAGCCCCCTTGAAGTACTGGAAGGCTGCAATAAGTTCTCCCTGGAGCCTTCTCCAGGCTGAACAACCCCAACTCTCTCAGCCTGTCCTCAGAGGAGAGGTGTTCCATGATCCCTCTGATCATTTTTGTGGCCTCCTCTGGACCCGCTCCAACAGGTCGATGTCTTTCCTGTGCCGAGGGCTCCAGAGCTGGATGCAGGACTGCAGGTGGGGTCTCATCACCAGAAGGGAGTAGAGGGACCTCAAGGGAGGTGATTCTGAAAATGTAAGTTCTTTGATGTAGGAAGCAGTATTATGCTCTCTGACTGGACAGCCTCTTGTTCAACCGAATCCCAATATGCAACTAGTGTTCCTAGGGAGTGCCACAGTAGAAATAACACTGATGCAAGTCCTTGCTGCTGGACCTTTTCCTGGACACATTTCCACTGATGTAATCACTCTATCATAGAAGGCCACTAGGTTGGTCAGGCAGGACTTGCCTTCCTACGCTGTTTTTGAGACACACGATTTAAGATTAGTAATCCTTCTTTAAAGCTTTGGTATCAAAACTCCAGAAAGCTACAAAAACTTACTGATTCTTGCCTGGTTTTCTGGAATTCCAAGGCATTTATTGGAAGAGACACTTTTAGTTCTCATAAACTGAGCTTTTTTCAGTCAGTTTGATGGTTTTATTGCATCACCAATTTCTGTTTGGTGCACTTAGCGCTTCACGTTGCAGAGCTGTAACTTCATTCTGCTAGTAACAAGCCATCACCCCTAAGGCTTATGGCTTGCAATGCAGGCTTTAAAGAAAGTTGATATCAAGACATGCTGCAATCTGAAGCCTGTGGTATGGACAATTCCCCAATGCCCTATTGACATGTGACACTGTATACAATGTTGGCAAAATATCAGAGAAATAATACGGGGAGGAAGGGCGAGTGTTGCTGATGATATGGTCTCTATATTGTGGTTAGCTTTGGGGAGGGAGAAGGGGGCAGGTGCTACAAAACATATTGGAGTACATACCAGTTACTTGTCTTTCCAAACAGAGGACTTAAATGCTGGAGTGGTTAGGCATAAAGAGAGAGGTATAATGCCAATTCAAAGGGGTTGTAGATTAACACTGCACACTGTAACCAGGCAGTACTGACATCTAGTAATTCTCTGATGTCTTGAAGGGCTTCACTCCTTTGCGTAGCAAATTAAGGAAGATGACTTGCTTAGATGTCAAGAAATTTCTGTTCCAAAATCAGGACAAGCCGTATTCACTTTAAATGTTTACAAATACTTCCTGAATATATTCAACGGTGTTTTCATCTTCCATGCAAAATAAATTGTGCTGACAGAACTGATAACCTGTTCTGACACCCATAATATTATTTTAAAGAATTATAGCAACTAATCAATATGCACTTCGAGAATCTATAAAACAATCTGAATGCTCAGAGTCTTAATTATAAACACCCTGGAATAAGAGAGGAACCAAAAATACATCTTAATTAAGTGGCTAATGTCA